TCACAGAGAGAGTAAAAAAAAAAAGAAAAAAAAAAAGCACAATTAAGACAGTTGGGCAGGGAGAGGGAAACAGAAATACAAGTACACACAGAGCACCACTTCCTGTTGAGAGTGCTTGCATCCTAAGACTGCAGGAAGCTCACAGGAAGTAGTCAGCGACTGGCTTTTTGGAGGGAATGCCTCTCGTTTCTTGTGGAGCAGCTTCGAATATGATGAACTCTTTCTGCAGGTGCTCGTCAAGCTCCAAGATTGCCGCCACATTACCACATCTATGACAAAGAAAAGTGGATAAGTAAGCATTTTGTTTTCTTATTAATAGTATTTATTACAAGAAAATCTTGAATTACTTGTAACAGTTTGAATTAGATATAAAAAATAAAAAAAACCCCAAAAAAGCGAGTCAGTTGTGAATGATTCACTGAGTGATTGAGTCCGATTCAAACCACTGACTCACAAGAGCCGGTTCATTTGTTGCTCATGCTGTGTTTGTTGTGTGTGTAGGAAACTCTCACATCCACTATAAAGATGTAATTAACAAAAGCGCAGGTGAACGCGCACAAAGTTTTCCAGACTGGTGCAAATACTGACTACATTTAAAATGACCGTTGTTTGTGGTTTTTATTTGTCATCTTTGTTACTATTTTAGTTACAGTCTGCAACCCTGAATAATACAAAAACGACAATTCCAATCAGAGTTATTATAGTTAATTAAACAAAACCATAAAACTTATTTTACTTCTTTAAACTTTTTCAGAGAAGTAATTTCAGCTGCTTGCTAAGGCAACACTTCTCAGTTTCATTTAGTTTAACTTAATGTACTAAAACTGAAATAAAAATTATAAAAAAATATACAAAAAAAATAAATGTTTTCATTACTTGAAATAAACTAAACGTTACCTGAAATACAATACATTTATTTCACCTATTTTAATTTCTAATTTTCATTTAGTTTAACTTGATAACAAATAACAAAAAATTGAAAAAAAAATTTCATTAAAAAAAATAAACATTAGCTGAAATAAAAAACAAACTCAATTTTCTAAGCTACATTTCTCCTTTTAGTTTAGTTTAATTTGATGCGCTAAAATAAGTACAACTGAAATAAAAATAAGAAAAAACTAAAACTAAAACCATAAAAATACAACATTTCATTACTTCGAATAAAATAACTGAAACAATGTTGAAATTAAATAGCCTTTCTCATTTTCATTTAGTTCACTTGATGTACTACACCAACTACATTTTCTGGATAAAAAATTTGACATTTAAAAATAATGTGGAAAAAAAGGACAAACTTTAAAATAAAAATAACTATTTACTAAAAAAACTAATTCATAAAAAAAAATGTATGAAAACTATAATAAAGCGGCAATACTAAAATAACACTGATTTCAATAACAATTAGTGTTGTCAAAAGAATTAAATAGCCTTTCTCATTTTCATTTAGTTCACTTGATGTACTACACCAACTACATTTTCTGGATAAAAAATTTGACATTTAAAAATAATGTGGAAAAAAAGGACAAACTTTAAAATAAAAATAACTATTTACTAAAAAAACTAATTCATAAAAAAAATGTATGAAAACTATAATAAAGCGGCAATACTAAAATAACACTGATTCCAATAACAATTAGTGTTGTCAAAAGTCCCGACGTCGGTACCCAGTTGGTACTGAAATTAAAAAAATGTGACGATACCAGCATTTCCCACTAACATTGAGCGCTGTTGAGCAGATTCTTAAACACCTCTGATTGGCCATTGTGTTCACAAGCTAAACAGATGTGTCTGTGATTGGCTACAATGATCATCGCTTCACGCTCTTCACCGAGCGCTCACACAGATACACACGGGAGCATTTGAAAGCCGCGTCTATCAGCGGATCCCTAATATATCTACTCATAGACGGATCTGCTGATAGATGCCTGCTTTCTCCTGTGTGTATCTTTGTAAGTGCTCGGTGAAGAGTGTGAAAGATGTGTATTTACAACAAGTTTTTGTTGATGATCATTGTAGCCAATCACAGAAGTTTTTGTTGATGATCATTGTAGCCAATCACAGCACATCTGTTGAGCGCGTGAGCACAATGGCCAATCAGAGCTGTTTAAGAAGCCGCTCAGCATGCTAGCGGGAAATGATGGTATCATCACATTTTTTAAATTTCAGTCCCGACTGGTACTGACATCGGTACTTTTGACAACACTAGTAACAATTACTATAATTTTCATTTTCAGAAAAAAAAAATAAGTACAGCTACTAGGGATGCAACAATACAGTTTTTTAACCATGGTTTTCGGTTCGGTTCTGATGGCTCGGCACATCAAAGTGTTTTTTGAGATTTAAAATGCGATTAATTTAAAACAAATTAACAACAACAAAAAACCTCCTGTACACTGGAGAAAGACATGGATTATCATATGTCTACTTTAAATTTCTTTTGAAAGAAGTATTATTTTTCCTATTTTTGCCCAAAATAGGAGGGATTGGCCAGTATTGAGTGCTATAAACACATGTAATGTCTGTTTCATTCATACTGGAAGCTGAAGTGCGCCCTCAGGCAGAAACTCCACATATGCATCACAGAAGTAAATGACACTCCAGGAAATCCCTCATATGGACAAAGGCATCCCAGCTATCGCTGTAACCGAATAAAAGGAAGATAGAAATGCTTTGAATGATGAAACATGAAGACAATAAACACTCGATTGCAGCGCTATATGGTTTATCTGTGTTCTTCAAGCCATATCTAATATTTTCATAATAATCATGTATATTTATAATCCATTGCTAATCGACATAGCCTTTATTACAGTATAGAATATATTTTCGGCCTCATTCTGCGATAAGAAGCAACATCAGATCACAAAAGGATGCATCTGACTGATGTTGTGGAGTAAAACATGTCATGTTCTCTTTTGTTGGACAACGGGTTTAGAAACGCTGCTCATTGCAAGTCATTACAAAGGACGATGTTTGATGTGTGTTGCTTTTTCAAATGCACGTTATAAGCGGGGAGGTGTACATCTCAGCACGTAGACTCACAGACATACCCAGTCAATTCAGAGAAATAAGACGCACGGAAATGATTGCAACGTTTGCAATTCACAAGCGCGTATTGATGTCGTACCGAACGGTTCAATAATATATTGAGAATTGTGGCATCCGTAATAGCTACATGGACATTCTTGTAACTGTGAGACAAAAACGCACCTGTAGCAGTAATTGGGAGCAGACCACACAGTGAGAACAGTCTCGTTGAAGTGCCACTTGTAACCTTCCATGACAAGCTGATGTGCCCTGCAGATCATGTCGATGTCGTTGGCGGCGTTGAACTGGGCCACGACGTCACTGCCAAACAGATATCCAGCACCTCTCGGGCTGACGCCCCATCCTGTGGTGTCTGAATCAGAGAGACATGCAGTCATATAATGAGACGCTGATGATGAACAACAACTCAGTTGTAATCTAGAATTACCTTCAGGATCAGACCACAAAAGATCGCACATGGGCCCATCATGAGGCACTTCCTGCTTCCTGTCGATGGTTCTGATCTGGTCCAGAGTCTGGATCGAGGGCGACAGGCCTCCGTGTACACAGAAGATCTGTGGGGTCACAAGAAACACATCCACATCAGGCCAGTTCTGAGGCAGAAAGTGGGACCATGTTAGCAAACCAACAAAAAGCCTCACTTTGCCGTCAATGATGGCGGAGAGGGACAGGTAGTCGAAGATCTCTGTGCAGTACCTCCATACCGTGACCGAACCGTATTTTCTTAAACACTCGTCATAAAAGCCGTACACCTGTGTGATCTGTCTAGACTCATGATTTCCCCGGATCAGGGTGATTCTGTCTGGATAACGCACCTGTGAGGATGAATGTGAAATATTACAATTTAAAATAACCGTTTTCTATTTGAATATATTTTAAAATATAATTTATTCCTGTGATCAAAGCTGAATTTTCAACATCATTACTCCAGTCTTCAGTGTCACATGATCCTTCAGGAATCATTCTAATATGCTGATTTTTTAAAATCAAATACCCACTGTATATTCAGATGTAAAACAGTTCTTTCAAAATTCTTTCAAAAATGTCTAAAAATATGAATTATTCAAATTTTAAACAGTGGTGTACATTCATTTATTACAATAACAACCATTACATCTCATTACAAATGTCCTAAACAGCTTGACAGTACCTTCAGGGCAAGAAGTAACAGAAAGGTCTCGACACTGTAAAAGCCTCTGTCCACAAAATCTCCCATGAAGAGGTAGTTTGTTTCTGGAACGTCGCCTCCCACCTGAAGAAGAACAGATTATTAAATACTAATTCATTAACCAATTATAAGTGGATTTGTCAATATATTCCATTTAAATAACAAATACCCAGTCAAATAAGAAATGCTAGCATGCGATTAGCAAGCTGAAGGAAATAACAGCACCACTGATTTGATTTAAACTAACAGTAAGACTGTCCAGTCAATAACGTCAATTACAACTAGTAGGTTGCTCTATTTATTCTACATAGGAAATCTCAACTGTTTGATTGTTTATATCATCGCTAAAAGTGAACTATATTATCAACCAGTGATATTTATTGGATATTTATCATTTTATGCCATACCAGCATCAAAAGCTATATTCATGGCAAACTCGAGAATAAGATTTAACACAATAACAATACTTCAATGTATTGTACAAAATTCTAACAATATTATTTTTACAAAAAAAAATAAAATAAATAATAATAATAACAATTATATACAATTTCAAATTAATATTTGATAAAAATTCTAATATATTTCCAGGATAAATGTTTACAAATTTGAAATTATAATCTGCTAAATGCAACTATAATGCATGAAGATATTAATATATTATAAACATTACAATCATGATTTTCTGTAAAACTGCTTAGAAGCAAAGTGTATTGTGAAAAGTGGTATGTAAATAATTTTGACTTGACATTTGGTGTAAAGCAATACCCACTGGATACAAAAAATAAATAAAAACATTATTTTGGATTGACTTTTTGTGTGAAAGAACTCAGACATACCCTAAACAATTCCTTCAAGTCATAAAACTGCCCATGGATGTCACCACACACCTGAAGAAAAGACAGAGCAATTAACTTCCCATATACATGATCAAAGAAACGGTTCATTATAATTTTAAAGGGGTCATATGATGCAATTTCAATTTTTCCTTTCTCTTTGGAGTGTTACAAGCTCTCGGTGCATAAAGAAGATCTGTAAAGTTGCAAAGACTAAAGTCTCAAATCCAAAGAGATATTCTTTATAAAAGTTAAGAGTCAGCCACGCCTACCTAAAACGGCTCGTTCTAACACGCCCCCACATGTCTACCTCACTATGTGGGAAGATTTGCATAACGCCGCCCAAATGTTCACGCAAAGAAAGAAGGCGTAACTTTTATTCTCGCTGTAGTATTGTTGCTGCCGTCATGTCACGAAGGCGCTTTTGTTGTGAAAGCGGAACTACTTTGTTTGGTCTTCCAAAAGAGGACGATATCTGCTTTGTCATGCCTAGAGCTGATCCGTGCTGGTTGCTGAGGTAATACAACAACTTTGCGCTGTGGATCACCGGATCGGCTTTCAC